CAGCAGCTGGCCACCTATCTACACTCATTAGTTAGCCAATCAGATCTATCCTAACCCACTATAAGTAGCCTAGCTAGACATTACTCCCTTATCTTCGTTTTCCGAAGAAACCCCCCATCCACCCCTTTCTCCTCCTTTTCTCCTTTACAAAAAGGGGAGCTCTCGAGAACCACCTGATCTCGTACTCCCCTCACATGCTCTATGGACCTGGCGGGAGCCCTGGGCTCAACTATCTCCGAGCTCAGGGTTCTCTACCGGGACAGCATGCCAAACCTGCTTACAGCTGTCAAGCAATATCTAAGTGTGAACTCTTGAAATACAAATTAAAAAGTCATAAAGATTACATAAAGATAAATTTAAATTAAAGAGCAGATCAAATAAGAAAATAAATGCATTTAAAACATTACAATACTTGCATTTAGATAAATGCCATTGCTTTAAACGTTATTCCTTTAATCAGCAGTGTGTTGATTTGAGAAGGATTACACAACATTGAGGATTAGAGTAATCATGCTGAGAATGTATTACGTTTTAAACTACTTTCAAATAGAAATGGCTTCATTACTCCAGTCTTTAAAGTCACATGATCCTTCAGAAATCACTCTTATATTAATCATTATTATTATTAATATTAATAATGACTAGTGTAATCATTTCATTTGAAACTACATACAATAATAAATAAATTTTGAATAAATAAGTATTTACCAACTTGATCTTTTTTACATTTAATAAATGCTGCCTTGGTGAACAGAATATTTTTTTTAATTTTAATTCTTAAATAAAATTAATAACTAAAAAAAAAACTGACCCCAAATTTTTTTATATATATTATGCTTCTTGGAGGCTATAGGTGGAAGTATAAAACATACTGTAATTATAACCTGACATGCTGTCTAACAGATACCCAGCAGCAAGTAATGTGATTTATGAACAACAATAAACTCCAGCAAGATAAAGTGTTTCTATGCAGATCCATATAATCTATCTACAAATCAAGAATAATAATGGGAATGATGAAATACCTGGAAGAGAGTTTAACCATTCTGACTGACATAATCAAAAATCACACACTTCATTTCAAAAATGCTAAATGCTGAGGTGCTAAATGAGGAATGACTTACAGCCTCAGGGGAGAAAAGAGTTTCAGTCAATTTTACTTTAACTAAAATATCTGTGAATCAAAACACTGAACAAAAACTTTGCAGAGCTTTCGGTTTGTGCTTTTGGTGGAGAACACAAAATAGCCTGCACAAAATAGGGTATAAGATTTGGATATCTGATCAACCCAACATTCAATCCAGCAAAAAAACAGCAATACTGACTAAAATACCGATCAATGCAAACCTACAATCAAGCAGGTGAGAATCCTGACATGCTAAATGTTATATCCACCTAAATGAGTAGATATGCCTACCATTTGTCATTATGTGATTCACTTCAGACAGACAGACAGACAGACAGACAGATAGATAGATAGATGTTTATAGTTAACAAACACGTTCAAATACACTGCCAAGGTATTGTAATCCATGTCCTGGGTGTGCCATGTGCGTAAACGAATGGCTGCTAACCCATAAAACGTTCGCTCAGAAGTTCACTCGAATTAAGCACTAAAATGAAGCTCTGAAAATATAACACAAACATTAGGGCATCATTAAGTATATTAAGCTACGACGACTGTGTAAAACACAGTAACGCTGAACATGGAGGAAAAACTGAACCGTACATTGTGTTCAGGCAGCACATGAGCGTAAAGCAGGCAGTCTCCTCATATGACCCGCTGCGCGCTCCCGCGACGCCCGCTCTGACGTCACCATTTCACGAACGCATATCAAGACGTCAGGCGCGCTGTTACGCAACTGGACTATTTAACTTCCTCGCACATTCTTATGAGCACAATTCACCCCAAAAAGACAGGATGGGGCGTCTCAGGTCACATCGGCCCAAGAGTCGCACTCTGTGCGTCCCTGCTCGTAAATAGTGTGTGAAGCTGAAACCTGAGGACGACTGAAGCTGGCCGAATGTTTATCGCATATGGTCCACAGTCTAGGTTTTTTAAGGACGCGCGTTCCCATTTGCTCAATGAATAATTTAGACCCTCATGACCATGATCAACTCATATGCTCTTGTTTAACCCCGTGTTGCATCCGCTAAGGCTTGCACGATTATGAAATGGACTATTAGTCTAAATGACATACATAAGCAAAAAAATCCATTGACGATGAATTGCCATTGGTAATGCATACTTTACGTTAGCAGGCATTAACAACTCATAATGCACTTTGACTGTTAAAGAAAATGATGTTGTACAATGTTTTTATATGCATTTACTTAAAGTGTTCTCATTATTTCTTCTACATTTACAGTGACTTCTATTAATCTGTAGTAACATCTAAGTAATAAAAGATGATGATGATGATGATGATGAGTATTATTGTTAAATTTAATAAGGTTGTAACATAATATAATATTATATTATATATAATAATATAATAACATATTAAATAATATTATGCAGTGACACGATATTTCTCAAATATAATTTATTCACTTTGATCTGACCTACACCTGCTGATTATTATCCATTCAGCAACTATTAAATACAATGTAAAGTCAACATGTAATGAAAAATCCTTCTATTTGGCTTTAATGAAATTATAACAAGTTTTATTTTGTTGTCCTTTAAGGATTAATCAAAATGTCTAATCATTAAAGTGAAAACAAAATCTTATCATCAACACTTCTGCAACAAGTTAGTTCATTTAAACTTTACAAATCATGTGTGAATGCAAAGTACCATATCAAAGTGATTTGAAGCAAAAAAGCAAGCTGACATCAGTCATTTTAAATTAGATCTGATTATATACAGTGGAGATACATTTCAAAAACAATGGGAGAGCAGACATGCAGCGACCGACACACTGATAAAATAGGATGTCGCAGGCAGCACATCCAACTGCAGAGCAACAACACCTACTCGAAATCAACACAGCACAGTGTTTTAAATCTCCTGTCAAATCCCATTTACTATGGCAGTAGTTAAATCACTGTAGGTCATGGGTGGCTGTGCTATTTGTGTACAGCACTCACGTTTGCATAAGGGTTACATTAACATTGACGCGTCACACCTCACAAGCTTTTTCTGTTGCATGTGGTGCTGCTGTAAGTGAAAACATTTATTGCAACACCTCTTCAGCGTGACTGGTCCTTCAGCATTTCTTTATGCACAGGGGTTGATAATTCACATACTGCACCAAAAACAGAGACAAAAAATATGTCATATGAATTTTCAAATGTTCTAAGAATTGCTAATTGGTAAGTGCAAAATAATTATGATTAGATAAAACAGCTGTTATAATTATGTTATAATTGCAACATGTCTATACAAGATAGATAGATAGATAGATAGATAGATAGATAGATAGATAGATAGATAGATAGATAGATAGATAGATAGATAGATAGATAGATAGATAGATAGATAGATAGATAGATAGATAGATAGATAGATAGATAGATAGATAGATAGATAGATAGATAGATAGATAGATAGATGCCTTTAGGTCCAATGTTCTTCAAAATGACCCCTCAGTATGACTGGTCCTTCAGCATTTCTTTATGCATGTGTGTTTGATAATTCACATAATGCACTACTGTATCAAAAACAGAGATAAAAGTACTTCATATTAATGTTCAGATGTTCTTAGAGTTCCTATTTGGCCTGTGCAAAATAATTGGGATTAGATAGAACAGCTGATTATGTTATAATTGCAACATGCCTGTTAAGACTTGCAACAATCCTGCTAAACAGTAATTATTAGTCCTTTATAATCACAATTCTGAGTTTTTAAGTTTGTGTCAACATCGGCTAGTTGCCTGTTAAAAAAAGACACCTTGAAATTCAAGGATTACATTACATCAAAGAAAAATTATTGATTTATTCTATGCCAAAATGCTTTAGAAGACAAAAAAAATAAATAAATAAAAAACGACCACCTATAGCTAAGGACAAGTCATCCAACAACAGTGAAGTACACATGACTGATCTCTGAATCATCAAATATTTCCAGATAACATTTAACCAAGGCCTTTTCATACACAACTGTTCTGTAAAAATAAATGATGTGAGGAATGATTAACTCATTACACTTCAAGTGTGCCTTATTTTCTAATATTTCTATGAACCAAGGTCAATTATCTTGCTTATACTCCAGTTAACACCAATCCGATGTTGTATTTCAATACATGTCACATGTTTTGTGTCCTAAAACTTCCCTAGCGCTAATTACTTACAAACCTCATCTGTGTTTTGTTTTTGAGCTGATATTTGACCAATCTTAGGCTGTGAAAAAAAATGTAGCATTCAGCTTAGTGATGAGGAACTAAAAAGCTGTCAAATACTGCATAGAACTAGTTTAGCTGTGTGGTTGCTTTAAAATAATTGAACAGCATGTTTATCAAGTATTCAACATAGTAGCTAGCTATAGCCCAATACAATCATTTAAACTCAAATCAATTTGTAGCCTATTATCCATATCAAAAAGAGTAATAACTACTGTAGTTCAAGTGTACTCACTATAGTGAGCTTGTCATCATTATCATATAAACCCATTCAGTTTGACACAAACTTTCACAACACAAAACTGTGTCATCCATAGCGACTAACGTAGTAGCCTAAATGTTGACATGACATTAAAGGGTGTTGACTCGACAAAACTGTACATTTTGTACTGGTTATAACATTCTTCCCGTCTCTTTACTTAAAAATAGGAACTAGTCAACTAGTCATGTGCAATGTATGTTGAACTGAACTTGTTTAACTAGCCCTCTCTCGGTGTCCTCGTTTGCCGCGTGCAAAGCGCAGAGCTTCAAAACATGCGCTGCAGCGCGTCCACGACGCAGATGTTTTAGAGCTCTGCGTTTTCGCGCGCACCATAAGTGGACACCTCTGAAGTGAGAAGCCCAACACGACAGCTGACAGCAGGACAAATACTCACCCACTTCCTTACGAAGAAACACAAACTGCTTCCAAAACAACGCGAAATGGTACATTGAAGTCCCACCAGCAGTCTCCTTAACGAGCGGTCTTCTTCGTCGCGAGTCGCCCGCTCGGCGCGCTGCGATACCCTTCCAAACCGCTAAGAACTACTTAAAATAATAGCCTATGTTCGGATTATATCCACTTAGAAGGAAAGTGTTAGTATGTTATTTGTTTGACCACGTTTGAAAACGATTCGGTTTCGGCTGCCACAACAGGAAAATACACGAGCTTTACTATAGTCGCTCCACCCCCTTTACGGTAAGGACGAGCTGATGGTATAGAAGTATGCGATTATATCAAATGCTGCTCTCTACAGGTTCACAGCAGCTTAAACCTTTTAACCCTCTGTGAGATGGATGACCCTGTGGATGAAAGCACTTCCTGAGACAGATGTGCGGTTGCCAGTGCTCACAGATCCATAGGTCTCGAGCGCCTTCAATTTTTGGGTGATCCACTTTTATATGTTAGGATTATTTATGACGGAGAAGGCTGACCCAATTGTGAGGAAAAGAAAACATTTTAGTTGTACGCGTATGTTGTGTAGGCCAGATGTGAAGATTTACATATTTATTTAGAAATAAAATGTATTTATTGATTAAGTATATTCATTTATAAATCATTTTAAAATGATGAAACAGAAATTATTTTGATGTGTGTAATTAGGCGATATTTCTTGGAGCAAGAAATATCTGTAAGAAATGTTTATCAGCTTTTAAAAACATTTTAGTTGATATTTACAAAATGTAGGCTACACTGATATGTAGACTAGAACATTATATCCATTGATTAAAGGGTTAGTTCACCTATAAATTGAAATTCTGTCATTTTTTGTCTGATGGTAAAAAAAAAAAATTCAACCCTATAAAAGAAATCTGTATTTCTGTATATTGTATATATAAATGTTCAAAGTTAACAAATGTTTGATTTTTTTTTCGAAAGGATCATTTTGCTAATGATGGAAATTAATGCAAAAATGAACATCAAATGTTGAGAAAACATCTGTTACTGACGTTATTATGTAATAGTTTAAGAAATATAAAACTTAACTTTATTACCTTTTTACATTTTCAGTCATTTTCTAGGATATCAATAGGGTTAGCATGTGTTAATGTCAAAATGTAAATGAATTAAAGGGTAAGTTCTCCAAAAAAATGAAAATTCTGTCATCATTTACTCAATCTTTTCTTTTTCCAACCCTGTTTGAATTTCTTTCTTCTGTGACGCACAAAAGAAAATATTTTGCTAAGAAAGCTATAATCTTGTAACCATTGACTTCCATTGGTAACACATGTGTGAAACAATGTTTCTACTCACAATGATACAATTTAGTGTTATTTCCCTGGAACTATACGGGAAAACTAATTCGCATGGCCATCAGAAGATTTAAGTTCATGCACTGTAAAAAGTCCTGGTTGCTTTAAATTTTTTAACCCTTTAACTGTACCCCTCCAAGAAAAAAAAAATTGGATTGCATTTCTTAACTGCTTATGTCGCTATTAACACACTCAATGCATTCCATAATTTATAAAATATCATCCTCTTCCAAATGGTTGATCAAAAATCTGAAAATATAAAGTGTAAGACTAATTTATTTAAAAACATAATCATAAAAAACATTTTTAAATACTAAATCATCTTTATTTTTTGAAGTATGCCATTAAATATTTCAGATTCTCATTTAACCTGTTTTTTTTTTTGTTTTTTTTATACAATAAAGCCAAAATCAAGTGTAGTAGTGCAACAGGATTATGCTTGTTTGATTATTTTGTAAACCAAACGTGCTGTGTGTGTAAACCATTACATGTCATTATTTTAAATGGTAAATCATTTGGTAGAGGAGGCAGTTAATGGGTTTTAAGCTGAATCAAATTAACCTTATGTGTCCATTAAACTTATATTATGTTAAACTGACTTACGTAAAACAGCTTGCACAACTTATAAAATTAAGTTAAAACATGACTTAACTTAGTTTGATAAGATACAACAAACTGAAAACACATGCTGTCGTGATTATTTGATTATATAGTTTTTTTTTACTGTGCTGGAGGAGGGAAACACACATACATTTTGGCAGACTGAATTATGTGTAAAAAATAGTATTTGTTTCTCCTAAGTCAAATGTTACAGGTTTCTAATATAATATCTATTTATAATATCTTCTTTTGTGTTTAATAAAGAAATAAAAACTCATATGATTACAAACCTTTAAGAGTTTCTTTATTCTGTAGAACACAAAAGAAGAGTTTATGTAAATTTGTTAAATTGTCAAATTAAAAAAACATGAATAAAACACTTAAGAACACCCCATTTTGAAAAGGAATATTTTAATCCATTTCTCATTGAATAGAGGCAATGTTTGTTGGTGCATTTGATCAAAACAGATTTATTAAACAGATATATCTAATAACATTTTAGTCTCCAAACATATTTAGAAAATGAAAGATAAAACAATTAAATAAAAAATTTACAACCTACAAACCTTTAACTAAATTTTTCCTTTTTTTTTTTTTTTTTTTTTTTTTTGCTTCTTTTGATTTTTCCTCTTTTCAAACGTTTTTCCTCTTTTTTAAATTTAATTTAATTCTCTAACATATAAATTTGGATGTACTAGTGTTTGGACCATTATTGTAAGTTATTTTCTTATAAGCTCCAGATTAAGCTTCAGCACTGACTAAACTATTGTATATGCACAAATATAATATTGTAGAGCTTCCTATTAACAATATGAACTCAAAAGATAGATTTGTGAGGGGTGTATTTATATATGCTGAGCACTGTATGTTGTCCATAATCAGTAGACAATGAGCAACTGTAACACACTAAATTTCTCCAATCACTCGGCATATGGCATTTTAATTTTTTCTCATAATTACTGAAGCTTTTACCCATTACTTGAGTCAGTAAATACAAAAATGTTGAGCTAGTTGTCAAAATCTGTCAAGCTAATTTTAAAAAGATCTTCAAATCTGTTTTTCCCTCAATATGTCTTCTAAATTGAACAATTTGATGAATGATTTACAGACCTGTGTGTGTTGTAGGCTCAGTTCCATGATGTACTGCAATATTGTTTACAGTTGTGCACAGCTTTACCCAATTATTTATGTTGTAAATAAGGGTGTATTTATTCGTTTGCACACTGCTGTGAATAAATTAGAATTGTAAAGAGCAAATGCAGTAAAATGTGCAACATACATATTCAGTGTCTTGTACTCAGACACCTCACTAAATGCAGTGATGTCTAACATTACTGAAGTTTTCAAATGGCTGTGCTAATAGTTTATGTGCTGTCTTAAGCATTTTCAAGACGTGTCACCAAAATCGGACTTTTTTGCATTGGACAGAGTAAACTGACATAATAAAAACATGATAAAGTCGTATGACTATCTTGTTCATAAACAATAGTGTCAGGACTTTTCATCTTGATGACACTGACACTTTCATTGACATTAATACTTGCTTTTGAGGAATGAGCTATCCATTTTGAGCATGTGACACGCTTTTGTAGGTTATTACCTAGGTTTTGCAGTTTGTACTAATTGTTTTGAGAAATGCATTAACTGTTGTGCAAATGTAAATAGTGTTGTGAGAAATGCACAAAAGCCACTGAAAAACACTGTAACATTTTCAGTGAATCTCGTAGGATTAGCATGTAAAAATGTTAATGTTTGAAAATAAATAGTCTATTAAGTCTTCAAGCATTTAGAGCTGTGATGAACATCACAGAAACCACACATTGTATTTTATTGGTTAAGTAATCAGGGTATTTTGTAAGTGCCCACAACATCAGCATAATGCATGTTCTAAAAATCCTCTCCAGTCTAGAGGGCATCACTGAACACACAAAAATTTTATGCGTCTTTTAATTTACCTCAACACCCCGAGGCTCGTGTGTCAGTCAACAAGTGACTGCATGTGGATTGTTAAATACACATATCATTGTTTGGTTAATTGTTTTGTTTTTTGGTCGCATTAGGGTTTGAACAGGTGTGCTTAAATGGCATTGTTTTCATTTTAACGTAAACGTGGGAAAGCAGACAGAATACTGAGATTGAGGTCAAATGCTCATATACTGTAGCGAGACCGCATAGCGATGCTGCATGTAATACTAATGCACTTACTTCAGGATGTGGATTGATTTCAGTCATTTAAAGGACTTTTCATACACATTTAGAATGGTCTGTAAGTTATCATGGATGGATGGATGGACGGACGGACGGACGGACGGACGGACCGACCGACCGACCGACCGACCGACCGACCGACCGACAGACAGACAGACAGACAGACAGACAGATAGATAGATAGATAGATAGATAGATAGATAGTAGGCCACAGGATTAATCCATTTTAAACTGAAAATGCGATTTGATAAATTTGATTATTACTATGGTGAGGGAGGCAAGCATGAGAAATTAAAATGATCCAACTAATGTTACTTAAAAATCAGACAGCTGTTACAGAAGAACCCACGATCCTCTGTTTCACTTAGATGAAGAAAATTAAAGCTCTAAACCTTATCTCTGCTTCTCTCTCTGTCTATATATATTTAAAACAGTAAATCATTACAGTAAATCACATTTTAAATTGCAATTTTGATCAGAAAAATTGCAATTCGATTTTTTAAATAGACAGACAGTCAGATTTGTTTTAAAAAAACTGAATCAGAATTGCATAGGTCAAAGATGTGAAATCACATAAATAAAAAAGAAATCAATTGATATGTGTGAAAATAAAATGTCAAAATATGGATTAAATAACATTTCATCATAATTTGATGTTACAGATCTATTTTTATTATATAATATTATCATATTTTAAATGGTTAAAAACTTGTCAAAGTGTAAAGATATAAAATGGCTGCACCATTGTTCCCAAATAGAGACTTTTAATGTCATCAAATGATTCTTAGACTCCAAGATTGTTTGACCATTGTTACACTGAATGGCATATTAATGGGCATCTTCTGTAAATCACGCAAAAAAAAAATTCATATTCATATATTCATAATTATTTTCTCAGAAAAAAAAGACAATTAAACAACAATCAACTGTATGAACTGTATTAGACTTTTTTTTTTTTTTTGCTTTGATGCCTAAAAGCCTTTTTTCGTAGTTTTTTTCTTTTTTTTTGAATATGACTAATTGAAAAAGAGATAACTGCACTGCTGGGAGTGCCATTAAATATCATATGAATGACATCAGGCAATACATCACAGAGAATTTGCCAGTTTATGGCCTTTATTTTAAACCCAGAGCTTTAATGAATCTTTGGGGACAGCGTCTTTCATGGCTGATTTGAGTCGTTTGGCCATTTCCTTCTCTGTCAGTCTCTCTTTAAGAAGCGCTCCTCGCTGTGTGCCAACGCAAAGGAACGGCACTGAGTTCTTAGTGAAATGGGTTGTGGGGTATTGGTTTGTACATTAATTCACAGCGAGTACAGGACCACCACTGTTCAGCAGTGCTTTACTTCAGTCAGGACTTATTTTCCCTGCTGCTTTTAAAATTGAGCCAGTGAAACATCATTATGCAGAAAACTCCGTTCACAATATGAACATTTTAATAATATTCTTTCCTCTTCACAGTCATACAAGCTAAAAGGGACAGTGATGCATTATTTTATTCAAAATAAGACAAGATTACTCTAGTTCTTTTGTTTTGTCTGAAAGTTATCAGCTTTCTCTTCATCTGAAAGTGAATCATCTGATGTTAATCAGTGAATCTGATATGTCCTATCATTCAATTGTGCTGTATGCCTAGAATATGATGACTTAAAGCACATTTAAGTATTGGGTGCATGCAGTGATGGAATTAC